AGAAAAAGGAAGAAGAAAGGGAAGAAGAAGGAAGAAAGAGAGAGGAGACAGAGTGTCAGAGGGGGGTATGGGCGAGAGTGGACGTTGCATGGGGATGTTGCGTACGGTCAGAAGGGAAGAGAAGAGAAAGGAGAGAGAGGAACGTGCGCGGTCAGAAGGAGGGAAACGTGCGCGCGGACGAGAGAGGAGAGAGAAATAAGAGAAAAGAAACTTCATTCAAATATTAAGTGCGATCTGATGGCCCAAATTCAAAACCGAAAACGATCTACCGGTCCAAAATAAGCCTCGCACATAAAAAGGGACAAAGGCCAAATTAATTGAACCAAACTATAACGAGAGAGGTCTACTAGTCCAAATTCACACTTGGTCAAAAACTCTCCTTTTTCCATTATTCCTGACAATCTCAACATTGGCTACCATAATATTGACACCGTCCAATTTATTTCGTCCCGACACTCCCGAAAATCGACTGCCAAGTCCGGGGTCTAAATAACGGCCAAATTCGATCGAGTGCAATTCTAGCAAAATCTCTATTTTAAAAACGAAAACCCGAGAGTGATCAGTTCCCGGGCGAGATTCTATTATAAGTGCACTGACGAATTACACGTTTTATAAATCCCAACAATGGGCCGAAATTCGGGATGTCACACATTGCTAAGTTTATGGAACTTTGCTAACTTATCTTCATTTAGGTTTCATGATTTGTTAATGTGTTTTTTTATTAAATCGAGATTTACAGGAATACGAAAAAAAAATCTTCTACATACTTTTTGTTGATCTTCGTTCTTGTCTTTCAAAGGATAAAAATTATAAAAAAAAGTTCAAAAAAATATTAAAATATTATTATATTAATTAAAAATGGCACAAGTGTAATTATTAAAAATTCAAAAATATTATTTAAAAAATGTCCATAGAAACGCCGATTGTGCCACATAGGACAGCCAGTGTCCACACCAGCGATTTTCGGCCAAAATTTGTGGATGGACTTAATTGGCAAATTGTAAAAAGTTTATGACTAAATCGGCACAATTGAAAATGTTTAGAATTGAATTGGCACAAAGTATAATAGATTTAAAAAAAAATTGATAATTGTCCCCTTGTTTTAAGATCTTCACGTAAGCATTGAATTACTTTTTCCAAAGATCGTTTTTCACTTTTGATCCTACAGATAGCAAATTGCTTGAGGAAAATGAACCGGTGGATTTAAAAAGGGAGGAAAAGGCACGAAATTCATTAAGCCTATTTGATTATGTCACGTATTTTCTAATTACACCCAAAAGTTTGAAGAGTAACCCATAATGCAAGCTCTCTTTTGGGCCAAACTCACTTCCCTTGAGAAATTAATGGACCTTCACCCCTTTTCCAATTGCTATATGTGAACTCTAGCCTACTCTCTCTCTCTCTCTCTCTCTCTCTCTCTCTCTAAGTATTTTAAGATCAGATGCTTCAGTCACTATAGGTGCTGCATGAAAACCATTCTGGTTCTGTCCAGAACTGGTTTTTTATTCCCAGAATCAGTTTTGGACCAGAAACCCGTTTGGTAACGCAATTTCATTTTTCTATTTCCGGGACAAGTTTGCTTCCAAAACTAATTCTGAAACCAGAAATGAGAACAAAAAAAAAGTTGGTTTTTCATTTCTGGAACAAAAGTGAGAACCATTTCTGAGGAATTCATTTTCTTCAACACACATATTCATATGGAAGTCACGATCTTTGAGGTGAGAAAAAAAAGCAAAAAATCAAAAATTTCAAAACTTAACAGAATGGTTTAGAATATGTGGCTACCCACTTTCAGTGAAATTTAAATTTTTTTAGGTACCGAAAAAAATAAATAAAAATAAAAAATTTCAAAATTTCACAAAATGGCTTAGAAAACCTATGGCCACCCACTTTGAGCAAAATTTAATTTTTTTAGTTGCCAAAAATAATAAAAAATAATAAAAAATTCTAAAATTTAAAAACTTCACAAAATATCTTAGAATACCTGTGGCCACCCAATTTGAGCGAAATTTTATTTTTTTAGGTGCAAAAAAAAAATAAAAAAAGCAAAAAATCAAAAATTTCAAAACTTCACAGAATGGCTTAGAATACTTGTGGCCATCCACTTTGAGTGAAATTTAAATTTTTTTAGTTGCCGAAAAAAATAGAAAAAATAAAAAATTTCAAAACTTCACAGAATAGCTTAAAATACCTATGGCCACCCCCACTTTGAGTGAAATTTAAATTTTTTTATATGCCAAAAAAAATAAAAATAAGCAAAAAAGTAAAAATTTCGAAACTTTACAGAATGGCTTAAAATACCTATGGCCACCCACTTTGAGCGAAATTTTATTTTTTTAGTTATCGAAAAAAATAAAAAAAATTTCAAAACTTCACAAAATGGCTTAGAATACCTGTGGCCATCCACTTTAAGCGAAATTTAAATTTTTTTAGGTGCCGAAAAAAATAAAAAATAAAAAAAAAAACTTCACATAATTGCTTAGAATACCTGTGGCCACCCACTTTGAGTGAAATTTAATTTTTTTTAGGTGTCGAAAAAAAATAAAAATAAGCAAAAAAGAAAAATTTTCAAAACTTCACAGAGTGGCTTAGAATACATGTGGCCATCCACTTTGAGTGAAATTTAATTTTCTTTAGGAACCAAAAAAAATAAAAATAAAATAAAAAATACCATTTGGGCATCTAAAAAAAATTAAATTTTACTCAAAGTGGGTGGCTAGAGGTATTGTAAGTCATTCTGTGAAGTTTTGAAATTTTTTATTTTTTATGTTTTTTTCACCTAAAAAAATTTAAATTTCACTCAAAGTGGATGGCCACATGTATTCTAAGTCATTCTGTGAAGTTTTGAAATTTTTAATTTTTTGCTTTTTTTTTCACCTCCAAAAATTAAAATTTCACTCAAAGTGGGTGGCCACAAGTATTCTAAGCCATTCTGTGAAGTTTTGAAATTTTTAATTTTTTTAAATTTTTTTTGGGTATCTCAAAAAAATTAAAATTTACTCAAAAAGTGGGTGGCCACAGGTATTCTAAGCCATTTTGTGAAATTTTGAAATTTTTTTTTATTTTTTTGGGCACCTCAAAAAATTTAAATTTTACTCAAAGTGGGTGGCTACAAGTATTCTAAGCAATTCTGTGAAATTTTGAAATTTTTGATTTCTTGATTTTTTTTTTAAAAATTCAACAAAATTCCTATTTTCCCGAAATCTGAATTTTTTTTTTATTTTCTTGACATTTTGATGATTTTTTCTGGAATTTTTCAATTTTTTGGGATTTTCTGATTTTTTTTGAGATTTTTATGAATTTTTCGGATTTTTTAATTATTTTTGTTCCATTTCTAAAAAAATGGATTTCTGTTCCTGGAAATAAAATTTTCTGTTGTTTATCAAACGGGTTTTTGTTTCAGGAAATAGAAATTTTGTGCTGTTATCAAACGGGTTTCTGTTCTAAAAATAGAAATTTTTTGTCGTTATCAAACGGGTTTTTTTTCTCAGAAACTCATCCAGGAACCAGAAATAGAAAAATCTATTTCTGGTTCAGGAACTCATTCCGGAATAGAATGGTTATCATGCGCACCCATAGTTTCCAACAATTTCAATAGAGTTATGGTAATGCAAATTTTTTTTCAAAGAATGTGGTAAATTAATGTGGAGATGTCTATGTTGAATGTGATTTTTTATTATATAGTTTGCGGTTAAACATCTTTCACAGAAATGATACAACTATACTTCTCTTTGAAAGGTAATAATACAAACACGGTATCTTGATAGTTACATTTACAATATCATGACGAGTGAAGCAACCCACATCAATGGCAATAAGAAACAATGTCATATTTCTTGATTGCAGAAGAAAGATTGACTAATATTTGAAGTTAAATCATTGTTTTGTATAATTTAATTATTTGATTGATTCACATATTAGCTCTCTAATACTTGTCAAGTCAAATGTAAACAAAATTGATTCTTCAAATAAATGAAACTATTTGCATCTCCTCTTGAAACATACGATGCAACTTTACCTTGTTGACTTATGTTATGTCTCTCTTTATGCGACAAAATTTACTGAATTTACAGTAAAGTTGGTTGGACCCATCAACATTGTTTATTCCTTATATCCTCTATATAGTAAACAGAATTGCAGTATCAATATTTTCAATCTAACTAGTAATCGAATTTATCATAATATACATTTAATATATATGTGACATGCTTGGATTAACTCACCTAGATATTATCCACTTTGACCCGTCCCATACCGAGTTTTACGATTTTGTTCTTTGTCATATAGGTGGGCACCTTCTTAGGAGGTCATCCATCCTGGGAGTACTCCACATAAGCACGCTTAACTTTGGACTTCCAAAAAAAAGCATTACCATTATGTCAAAAAGCACGTCCGTGAGTTAATTCCAGCTTTTGCATGTATATTCCGGAATCACTTTCCCCCTATTCGGTTCATTCTTACCCCCTTCGTCATTCTAGAAGCCTACTAGAAATCACTCCTTGTCCAAGCTCTCTAGCTCTGACGACCACTTCCCACCCTTGTCGGATCGGATCGTTATAGGCCCACTAACTTCTACCTTGTTCGTCCCCGAACCACACACCTACTGGAGAGGGTCCCACTTTGATACAATATTGTGACATCTCTTGATTAACTCACTAAGATATTGTCTGCTTTGGCTCATTTCATATTGAGCTTCACAGTTTTGTCGGGACGTCCGGATCGGCTATGTGTGAAGATTTTTCTTTCTCCTCTTTTACCCCTCTACTCTCGCGAAGGAGCTCTTCTATTTTCCCTTGTTTTTGTCACCCCGAGCTTCTTCTTTTCTCACTTGCACAATCTATTAAAGGAGAAGGAAAATGGGCTATGATGAGGGTTTGACTTTTAAGAGACATGGGTTTGGCTAATAAAATATGGGCTGAATTAATGGACCATATATTACAATCTACCCTTCTTACAAAAATTTCGTCATCAAAATTTGAACTGGTCTCTTCGGAGAAATAGTGATCATAGAAATGAGAGATGGTTGGCATCTTCCCTAACAAGGATAGGTCAAAGTGGACAATACCTCGGTGAGTTAAATCCAAGGCGTTACAATAAATATTTTGTGGAGTAACATCGTTCTTCATTGGCTTGCCAACATGATTCGTCCCTATTCACGGGTTCATTTGATCAATGGAAAAAAAGTGCTAAAATTTAAGTACTGAATATTGATGAAATTTTTAAATATCAAAAATGAAAATAAAACGTTGTATAATAGCTGAAAATTTAGCGACACATTTTATTTGTTTATTACCAAATATGGAATAGTGAGCATTCGAAGGTTTTAACAATATAATTGGTAAGATTGTTATTTTCATTGAATATTTTGTCACTTAACCAATTGAGTAAGCCCTTCCTTACATATTGCATTAAGTGATTTGTGACTTAAAAAAATCCATTTAAGTCGTATGTAGTTAGGTGTTATCAAACGCACTTAACGTGGCTATCAAACACATATTGTGTTTACATGAAACTTTATTTGGAGTCTTATTAATTAGTAACGAGGATACTCATTAGTCATACCTAATAAATAAATATCTACATTTTTAGTGTATTTTTTTTTGGTAAGGTAACATTTTTAGTGTATTGATTATACATAATACAAGAAAAGTAGTGATTTGAAAATGACAAACATTCTTTGAATAGATGTTTAGCAAATGTTCCAAGAAACTCATTGACAAAATCCTTTCAGATTTTCTTAAAAGGGAGTATAAGGAAAAGGAGACTAAAGTTTCTCCTTGAAAATACAAAACATATCACTATGATTATTATAAAGAATACTTAACATACATGATTATCCTCCTTTCTGTGTCATTTGAGAATTTCTTTATATGAAAAAGGGTTAGAACCGAATATAAAATAAATGTCTAGAATCTAATATCCCTATTTTATCATCTAATAAAACATGAAGCAATTCTCTAAGAGACGATGAAAATAACTTAGGCTTTGTATATTTCGTGAAAAATGTATCATTTGGAAAACGTTTTCCTAAAAATAATCTCTTATATCGCTTACAAAATGAAAAATATTTTCATCGTCAACGAAAATGTTTAGACATAAATTGTTATCGATAACGAAAATATTTTCCATTTGTTAATTATTTCAAGCGATACAAGCAATCATTTTTAGAAAAATATTTTCTAAATCATTCATTTTTTGTGAAACAAATGGAGCCTTTATATCCAAGCACTTATCAATCCCAAGATCAACAAGACAATCAGCAAGACAATTTCCTTCTCCAAAATTATGTTGTAGTTTGAACTCAAATTGAGAGGTCAATGGTTTTTTGATATCTTTAACAAAGGAGGGCCGACATTACCAACCATAAGCTCTAAACAAACAAGAATAGTGATGGCTTTAGGATAAATCTCAATGATGATATTGTTTTACAAAGTTGAGTCCTAACCATAATGCCCAAAGTTCTATTTGTGTCAAAGAGCATATTCCAACAAAGGTGAAAACCACCAACCCAGTCACCCCATTCGTCTATGAATAAATCCACTGCACCTTGCAAGTCTTGGGTTGCTCTAGAGGCTCCATATGTGTTCAATTTAATCCACCTTGAAGGTGGAGGATCCCAACTAACAAAAATCGGAGAAAAGTGTGATCCACTTAACGTCAAGTTATTCAAAGACAAAGCCTTGATGATTTCCTTCACGTGTGACCGAATTACTTATACTGTATTCAAAGGGAAAATAAAATTATCCTAAAAAAGTTACTTGTTCCTCCACTACCAAAAAAGCCACAACTCACTCCAAAAGTTATACTCTAATCAAGACGAAAATTCAATCGTCTGTTACCAGCAAGATTTGAATTCAACCATTGAGATAAATTCATCGAGAAGAACTCTTCCAATTATTGTTGTCAGACAAACTCAAGCCATGTCTTATGAATAATTGGACAATTTCTTAGAATATGTAATGTTGTTTCCACATATGACTTGCATCTCAACCAATATGGGTTTCCTCCCAAGTTGTCAAATGTATTTTCATTAATCAATAGTTGCTTGTGAGTGGCTAGCTAGAGGAAAATTTTAATACATTAAGGTCCCTTTCATTTCCAAATAATAGACGGTATACTATGATATTCTAGATTATCTACTCAATTAATTACCTCACGTAACACAGAAAGACCCTCTCCCACGATAAATATTTGTGTTATGCATTGAAAAGTTTATCCTACATTATTAATGATGCATTGAATTCACAAAAACGGAAAACTTTTTATATTCGAAGAAGTTGACCACGAATTTCTCATCTAATGTATCTATTGTTAATGGCAGAGGGTTCGAAAAATCGAATAGCTATCATCATGGAATGTTTAGGTGATTTTTGTAACAGATTAGGGCAAGTTATGAGCAAGGCCAAAACTAAAATTTTCTGTTCAAAGAATATTTTTCTGGGGCTGAAACGGAACTTAATCGAAATTTCGAGAATTGATTTATATTCGGAGCTAGGCAAATATCTAGGAGTGCCTTTGATTCATGAAAGAACTTCAAGGCATTTTCAACTGATATTAGAGAATACGAATAATATAGGCTTAGTGGATGGAAATGTGAAAGTTTGTCGTAGAATTACTTTAGCTTAGTCTGCAGTTATGTCTATATCCCCATATATCACATGCAGCCATTTGAGATTTGATAAAGCTAGTTGGGGAGAGGCGAGAGCAAATATCCCTAAAACAACAGAAACCTTCCTCTCATCCATGGACTAGAATCTGTGCACGTGTAAAATTGCCTGTATTTCCTATTTTGAAAATATTATACATGATTGATTTTAAGAATATTTAATTATACATAAAATGAAAAAAAATTAATAAAAATAGAAAAACTTATTTTTTTATTAAGAAAAGGGGCAGAGTTACGTTGTTACTCTCATAATAAAACATGATTCAATCTATCCTCTAACAACAAAGGAAACAAATCTATCGGTGGCCTATATAATACATGATTATCAACTGCATTGTTGTGTTGGATAACCCAACTTGCTAGCCAATTTGCACATGCATTCCCCTCTCTAATATTATGGTGAATCTTGACCAATTGAAAATACTTGATCATATTTCCAATTTGAGAAATGAGTGTCACCATAATGAAGCGACAAAGTTGATTTCTAAAGCAAACAAATCGCTGCTTGCGAGTCTGCCTTCACAATAAGTTGATAGGGAAATGCTTATGTGATTGTCTTCAATCTACTATGAGAATAACAGATTGTTTTGGGCCACAAAAAAATAAATAATAAATAATTAAATATTATTGGTGAGTTTACTCTTTTAAAAATTTGTGAATCAAATTATTATTTTAATAGTAGTCTAAAAATTATTATGTTAACAAAGCCCATGTTGGTAATACCCAAAAAAATTGTCAATTTAAGGCTCAAGAAGATGTTCCACAGTTTTGCATTGAGTGACCAACACACTGCCACTGTTTTCGCGCATCCAGTTTAGGAGGGGAAAAGAAAATATGGAGCAAAACTCAACCACGTGCAACCCAGCTGTGAAAGCAAAATCTTTGATAGAGATCCTCCCTGCGTTTGACCCACATCACACAGAATCCAAGAAACACGCACGCTCTCTCTCTCTCTCTCTCTCTCTCCCACCATTGTAACTCCACGCACGAGCATCTCTCCCCCTTGCTCTCATCACAGCGATCCCTGATCAGTGCCCGTTTGGGTCCGCGAGGAGCTAGTACATGGCGGGCAGTGGAGTGTTTGCAGAAATCAAAGATGGAGATGGAGTGTTCCGCTACTACTGCGACGGCGAATGGAAGGCATCGGCTTCCGGGAAATCCGTGCCCATCATCAACCCCACCACTAGAAGCACTCACTTCAAGGTCCAAGGTACCGCTTTCGAACTCCAGTGGTTCTTCTGTTAGTCTCGCTCAATTATCAACTTTTGATTAGTTCAGCCAGTTTGAATTTTTTTTGGTTGGTTTCCGAATTCGAATAGCCTGTACACAAGAGGAGGTGAACAAGATCATAGAATCAGCAAGGCCTGCGCAGAAGTTATGGGCCAAGACTCCACTGTGGAAGAGAGCTGAGCTGCTCCACAGAGCTGCAGCGATCTTGAAGGAGCACAAGGCTCCGATGGCCGAGTGCCTCGTCAAGGAGATCGCTAAACCGGCCAAGGACGCCGTCACCGAAGTATGTTTCCGACTTTATAAACTTTATGAAAACTAACTTTGAAATGAAAGTTGAAATCACAGCTCTTGCTTGTAAATTTAAGAAGTTGTAATCTTTGTTAGATGCTTCTCTTGTGTTTGAATTTGGAAGCATAGGGCACTAATAGCTTCTTTTTGTTTTTCCTTGAAATAATATGAATTTGAAGGTTGTGAGATCTGGGGATTTGATATCGTATTGCGCAGAGGAAGGGGTGAGGATTCTCGGAGAGGGGAAGTTTCTGGTGTCTGATAGCTTCCCTGGGAATGAGAGGACCAAGTACTGTCTCACTTCTAAGGTAATTTTGCACTTCTCTCAGTAGGTTTTACAAATGTCCCCGTGGTTTCTGACCAATTCTCTCTTAGTTTGCCTGTAAATCTACAACTCAACTCTGTGGTTTGTTCTTGCTGTCCTTCTATCTCTGCTTAGGTAGGCACTTCACATATTTTTTTAATGTTCTGATGGACTTGTTTATGCCGTGTGCACTCTGCCCATGGAAAACGTAAGATGGATTAGAATTATTAATAGACACTTCATTGACTTCTGCCAGAAAAAAAGAATGAGCAAAATTAAGCTATGGAATTGTGAACCTTTCTAATTACGCGTACGCCTCATGCTGGGTATATTCCATTCCATATGCCATTTTTATTTACTTCTCTTTTCGTGTCTTCGTGTATGCCATCCTACGTCTCTTTCAAAAGATAGATGAGGCTGGGGGAATATTTTTACCCTACATGAACTTGATTGTTGTGGATAATTGGCCCATTAAATATGAGTATATTCGTAAACTTGAGAAATTTAATTCTCATGTATTTTTTTTCTTGGGTTACTGAAGATGGTATGATTTACGGATTAATTGAACACGGGACCATATACGCCGAAAGCTTCTCTAGATAACTGAACAGCTGATGG